GTTTTTATTGTTGATATTTGCAGCCTTTTTTATGCAAATCTCAAGTAAGAATATTGGTTGCCTTTTCTTTGTTTATATTTCTTTTTGTATGTTTTGATCAAATTAATGCCGTTCCTCTCCCCTTTCTGTCTTGTCTTTTGTTGTTTAAATCTTATTATCAAAGTGAACCTTATGAAACAAACCTTTAGATATGATGTGCTACCTGAACGTTGTCACAGATTTGTGTTTTCATCATGCAAAATGTTAATAATTTGCCATAATATCATGAAATGCCTCCATTAGTTCAGATGAATGGAAGAAATGACATTTGAATAGACTGCTTGCGCGGTGACATTAATATTCAAACAAAATAAAATTCAATTCATTTTAGAACAAGTTAATTTAATTACAATCTAGCATTGGATAATTTTTGCATATTGATTCAAGTAAATAACAGTCCAAACACAAGATACAATCTTAACTTGCCATTTTATGATTCTGAGGGACAATATGGTGTTTGTGAGCAACTTTTCTTATTTTTTTATCTTCAGATTTCTTGATGTTGTTTGGTATTGAGTTGAAGAACTCTGAGTATTCTATTATTGTGGCAGACACGTGATGTCTAATCTCCAGGGAAAACCAATCCTCTAGGGATCTTTTGTAAAGCAGCCCTTAGCATGTATGGTAGCCATTTTCACATGCATGACATTCTTCAAGATGGCTGTTGCTGTTGATCCAGGTCATGGGTTCAGGCCATTTGCTCGACCTCCTAGATGCAAACTCCAGTCTTACACTCAGCTTGATTACACAATGCTCGACTTCAGCCAATCCAAGCTTACATACTCCTTGAAACATATATTTGAGTTCACTAACATCCACAAAAGCTTCTCAACCCCATGCCTATCTATTTCCTCCAGAGTCAAGGATGAATCTGATATCAATGCTAGGATTGAAATCATTGGTGGCCATGCCACACCAAGAGTACGCACTATGGTCATTGAGGTTGCCATAGCTATGGCCTCTGGTGTCAATCCCGAGCCAGTCTCTAGTGGTCTTGGTGGGGCCTATTTTCTGCACACTCGAAATGGTGATCCTATAGCTGTCGCAAAGCCCATAGACGAGGAACCTCTGGCATTCAATAATCCGAAAGGCTTTTGTGGCCGTATGTTTGGTCAACCAGGAATCAAACGCTCAATCAAGATAGGTGAAACTGGTCTACGTGAATCTGCTGCTTATCTCCTTGACCATGGTGGATTTGCCGGTGTCCCTCCTACAGTATTAGTCAAATTTTCTCATGTCAAATTTAATGTAAATAGTTCAGAACCAGTTCTTGCCCCGTTTTATACTATTGCATCACTTCAACGTTTTGTAAGTCACTATTCTGATGCAGGAGATTTGGGCCCTTCAGGCTTCTCTGTCTCGTCTACGCACCATATAGGAATACTAGATGTTAGACTGTTGAATCTTGATAGACATGCTGGGAACATTCTAGTGAAGCAAGGGCAAGAGAGTTATGCGGCAGGAAAAGCTGAGCTAGTTCCCATAGATCATGGATTTTGCTTACCTGAATCACTTGACGATCCATATTTTGAGTGGTTGCATTGGCCACAAGCCTCTATACCTTTTTCAGAGTCTGAAGTTGAATACATATCCAGTCTTGATCCATTTAAAGACGCAGAGCTGCTAAGAGTTGAACTTCCAGCAATTAGGGAGTCCTCCGTTCGGATTCTTGTGCTCTGCACAATCTTTTTGAAGCAAGCAACTGCTTATGGGTTTTGTCTTGCTGAAATAGGTGAAATGATGACAAGAGAGTGTCAAGGAGAGGAAGAGAATTGTAGTGCATTAGAGAATATCTGTATAAATTCTAGGGCTGGCTTGAACTGTGGAAAAATTGATGATATTGTCAGCAGTGTTCATGATGAAGACGAAGTTTTCGAGATGTTCCAATTTGATGAAAATGAATATAGCCCCAATCAGGTTTTAGATTTTTCTCAGAACTTACAGAATTTTCCGGCAATAAGTAGTAAGCCACCAAAAATTCCAAGATATGCATCACTGAGTATATTAGATGATTCGACGCTATTTCATTTGACTGAAAATGATATTTTTCAAGATTTGAACACCAGATCGGATGATGATGCGAATGAGGATGATAATTTTAAGGCAGGTGTCTTGATGAGAAGTGTGAGTTTCCCCGCTCCAAAATATAGCCATGACACTGGAGGAATTTCTTTTGGGGAAATGAATGATCAGGAATGGGAATTGTTCTTGGATAGTTTTGAGAAACTTCTGCCAGAGGCTTTTGAGGGAAGAAAATCCATAGGCTTGCCAAAACTAAGGTTGGGATCTTCTTTTGAATTCTGAAGAATGTTGAAAGTGCAAGAACTGCTTGTAAGTAGCATCAACTGGACGCAAACCCACAGATTACTACAGTGGGATGTAGATAAATTTTAGCACGAGAGGAAAAGCGATGGTAAAGCTGCCATCCTTTCCATCTCCACCCTTTCCCCCCTCCATTTCCGTCTTTTCTTCATTTTTAGTTTATCTTCTGTTTCTTTATAATCTTAGCACTTGTGTACTGTAGAGGATTTTCCTTTCCGTGAATGATCTTGTAATGGCAGTGTCTCGAATTATGAGACATTGAATATTGACGATTAATTGGTTTCGATATGTACAAACATATATTAATGATGAATGATTCTGTACAACATTCGAGATTATCACCCTTATAGAAGAACAATATATCTGTAGCTGTCGTTGTTGTTTGGTGATTTATATTACGTGCATTGAAAACTTCTTTGTTGAAACATTTGAAAGGAGGTCTAGTTCATATTCATAGTAAAATTCATCTGGTAGAAAAATTCCTATTGAAAGTTCCTGTGATTTTGGTAGTGCTCTGTTAATAATGGCTCAGTTTCGTGGGAATACTTGCGCTAATGTCATGTCATGTTGCGTTTAAGACGTTGGTTGAAATAGGGATATGAACATTTATCCAATTGGCACCATAATTTACTTATGCTCGTCGTTTCACTATTTTTAATGATTCCTTCGAAGTATAACAAAAAAATTAATGTTTATTCTCAGCAAATTAGCATGTCTGGCTATGTTTTATGGAGCAGCAAAGTAATGCAAACAAAATAAATTCTTCTTAATTATCAGCCAACAAATACAGTAAAGAAAAACTTTGATGTATTTTTCTCTGTGATTCCCAAATCCCAATACAGCATTTACTTCCAGTGGCTATGTAGGTCACAAATAACCCTTGTGTAAAAAGCCAATCATAAAAAGCATTCTCCATAAAAGCAACTTTTCTTGGTAGTTCATACCCATACTTTCGTAACTGCTTTTCTAAGTCAATTGTGCTAAAACTAATTTCTTGGAAGAACATGCATACATTCAAGAAAACTAATTTGAGCTGCTCTCAAGAGCATCATGGTAACAAATGGTTTTCTTGAAAATACATGTATATTTTCAAGAAAAATTACTTTTAAGCAAGATTATAAAACTTATTTTTCTTCAAATTACAGTTTCAATACCATCTGTTGAATCCAATTCAGATAAACCCACAACTTTTTCCACAGCAGTGGATTCAACTTCTTCACCATCTTCAGCCTTTTCAAGTCTTCTAATTTTCGCACTTTCCACCACCAAATTGAATGATCCGAATTTAGGCGTTGTTTCCGGAGTAGAAGCACCACCCCCACAGAAGAATGAAAAACTCGAATTCAAAGAAGTTTTCTGCTTGTCCAGAGCAATTGGAAGGGTTTTTCTTCTCTTTGGCTCTCGATTTGTTTCTGGGTTTTCTTCTTCCTCTCCTTCGACGTATGCGGCGGCTGGAGGCGGCGGATCTTGGCCGTGATCTGGATTCTTGGTGGGGGCTGAGCTTGTATCGATTGGTGTTCGTTGTGTATTATTCTTTTCCATTTTTTTGGGTCACGGGGTAAGAATTTGAGCAGACTGAGGAGTATAAGGAGTGTTGATTGGTAGATGATTTTAAAGGCATTGTACGGAAGCCTTTTCACGTGTGACCCAATTTACTTCTGTCTACAACTTTTACAAAATCAAGGCTTCGCTGGTAGTCACCCAAGTAGAGGGGAGTCACCTAAAATAACATGATCTATGCTTCATTCAAGTCGCCTCATGGGAAGACGAGGCTCGTTAACCTTTTTCACATCCTTTTGCGCGAGTCGAGTAAGTGAAATAAAAGCTTAATGAAATTACGACAAATGTTTACTAAACGAAGTTATTGAAGGCAAGCCATTTAGATTTTGGGTTTCCAACGAAGTAAAATGCAACGAGGGGCAAGTGTCATGTCGGCATCAATTTGTTAGAAAGCACATAAAATATCAAGCGGAAAAATATGTGAAGTAACCACTTGATATATGAGTAGGTGACATTCGTATTCAGAGCACGTGGAAAAAAGCTTCACTAAAAAAGAAAGGCACGTTTGTTGGAAAGAATGTTCAGGAAGCAAAAAATTCTCCTTTGACATCATGACACGTGTCTTGAATGAGGTAAAATATCACAATATCTCTATACCTATATATAACACATTGTTCATAAAGAAAAGGTTTGAGAAATTCTATCTCTTATCTAAATTTCTTTTTCACTTGGCTCCCTTCTACTTAAGCTATTGCAAGTTTAGCTTTTACATAGTGCGGATTCAGATATTTGTAAGTTTTCAGTGTTAAATGAGGAATTTTGTCAAGTGATACTCCACCGAAATTTTATTGGTCTGGGCCCTATTTAAATGGTGGCTAAAAATATCGATAGGCCTAAATACTAGATTGGGCCCAGTTGGAACTAAAAGATCAATTAATTATGTAAATTTAGTTTAAAGTAAGTAAATAAATAATAATCCTGCTAATTAAGAACAACATGAGTTGATGTATGTAACTTATATATAGATTCTTAGAACAACTAATTCTTGTCCTCTTCTCCTTCTCTTTCCCATTCTAAACACAATAAATTGATTGTTAATCACAACATGGCAAAGGTGAATTTCTTAATCAAGACGACTTTGCTACCGGTGATTGGAACCACCCTAATTGTGCCAAAATTTGATGTAGGAAAACAGATAAAAACACGTATGTGCAAGGGCAAAGTCACGAAGCTTGCCCCCAACCTTCGCCCCTTTTCGGGAATACAACTAGAACAAAAACTCTAAACATGCACATTCACCTTCTTCGGTATTCTCCCACATAAGAAGACTAAGTCCATGTTTGATATAAATAAAAATTTAAGCCCGAAAATTCTGATTTTTGACTACACCAATTGGGGGGTAAAAATGCTCTTTCTCATGTCGACGACACAATCTAAGAGCCATATTTGGGAGAAATGTGCCATGCATATGTGATATGACACGACAATGTGGGTGGAAAATGTGATGGGCGGAAAGGGTGCAACAGTGAACAAAAAAGGCCGTAAAATGCTTTTGAAAATGGGGCTCAATGGCCATATTTTGTAACTGTTGGAAAAAGAAAGGGAAAATTACCAAAAACCAGGCATTAAGTTTGACCTTTTAAAAAATCAGGTTTTCAAATTTTTTTTTTCATTTATCGTGTTTTTTTTTTATCATTTTAATTAAATAATTTCCATTTTTTTAAGAAAAATAATTTCCATTTTAAAACCCTAATTCACCAATTCCTCACACACTCTCGTCTCTCTCTCCGTCGTCTCTCTCTCCATCTTCTCTCGCCGCCTCCTCCCCCGCTCTCTCCTCTACACCCTTCTCCCACCGGCCAGTGTCGCCCCATCCCTTCCTGCGTCGCGATACTGTGGCAGCAGCATTGCGACGCTACCTTTAACAGTAGCGTTGGCAGCGTCGCGACGCTACTGTGGCTGAAATCTGTCACTGGAAGGGGAATGAGAGGGCATCAAAGAGGAAGTGGTTGCTGTTGTGGCTGGTGGTAGAGATGGCGTTGTAGGGACGATGGATGTTGGCGAAATCATTTTCTGTCGCTGCGATAGTGGAGGTTAGAAATCAATTGTAGCACGATGTTGTTTGTGTGTTGGTGGGTTGTGAATCTGCGTGGTGATGCAGTAGCGTTGGTGTTAATGTGTGTTTGTGTGGTGACTGGTGGTATGTGTGTGGTGTTGCTGGTGCGCTGTGGGGATGGTGGTGTTGCAAAAATGATGACGGCGGTAGCGGTGGTGTTTGGGTAGTGGTGATGTTGGTCGTGGTGGTTGTCTGGAGGCGGTGGTAGTGGTCATGGCGACAGTGCAGAAGTTGTGGTGGTGATGGATCTTGCGATTTTGGTTTTCTGTGACAAAAAATTAATTTGCGACCTTAAAATTTGTCAATCTGTGATTAAAAATATAATTCGTGACTAACTATTTTGTTATCTGTGACCTAAAAATTATATAATCTGTGACCGTGAAAAAATCCGTGATCAATTAATTTGAAAATCTGTGACCGTGTGGCCAAAAAAATTTTATTTGTAACCAACTAATTTTGAAATTTGTAACCAACGAATTAATCAGTGACCTACAAAATTTTTGAGCCGTGACCGAAGAACAATTGCCGGAGTGGTCGTCGGTCACCAGAGTATTCGCCGGAGGTGGGGTGGGGTGGGTTAATTTTATTATATTACAGTTAAATATTTAATTTAATATAGTAATTGTGAAATATAATTAATTAATTCATTAAAAACCTGAATTTTGCAATTCTAAATCTTGGGGTCTGATTTTTGATTTTGAGATAGACAAAGTCTGAGTTGTGAATTTTTCCCAAAAAGAAACCAAACAGAAGCCCGAAATCTTGAAGCCTATATATGGAAAAAAGAGTAACGCTATTCACGGTGTTTAACACCGTTTATGTGGCATCACCTGTGTCGTTACAAAAAAAAATTATGATTCATTTATTAGGATTTATGACTGATTGACACCTAAATAGCACAATCGGTACTAGGTAAAATTATTCTGGAAAAAATGTGCACACATGGCCAAAAAAGCATTAGATTTGATCAGGTACTTTGGTCGCAGATATAGTATGCTGAACTGAACATTATTAGATATTTAAGGAAAAAAAATGAAAAAGTTGAAATCGTGTCTTTTATGTCCTATTTTACACCAAACGTTCTTTATATGAAATTTGAACAATAAAATAAATGATATTACAATTATTGTAATACACTCTATGGATCAATTGGTGCCGTCAAAATATCCCATGAATAATTTGATCCACTCTCAAGTGCATGGCAAATGCAGTGGCCCCTCCTTTTTGGATTCTCTATTTTGTCCTCATCGTCAACTTCTAACACAGTATACGTTTGTTTGCATTAGAGTTATTGACGTTGTATTCAAGACTCCCTTTGTTAGTGCTTGTCCGAATCAACTACAATCTATATAGTACAAGGTAAAACCCAATAACTCATCACCAACTTCTGTGCCTTCTTTTGCTTTCTCACTCTTTGAATCTGGTATGCACTCCATATGTTTGTATTAAGTTTTGTATATGATTATCAATAATGGATTTTACTCTTTTTTGTGTGATATGAACGATTCTTGTAGATGAATTATGTTACTCCTGTTTTACTGCGTAATTGCTGTGTCTTGGATTCATAAATTATTGTTTCCTTGTTGAATTTTGCTTGTGATTTCTTGAATAGTACTGTGGTTCTTGAATTTGATCTTAAAATTTGTTGGAAAGTTTAATGAAGTTATTTTCTTCATCGAATCATGGTTAGATGATCTGGTAAACAATTCCAGTTTGTGGGAATTTAATAATTTATTTTCTTTTTCTGATCATGATCTAATTTGATCTGGAAAGAATTCATGATAGTTGTCGACTATGATGCTTGATCATGGATTATTCATTTGAATATAAAATTATGAACTTACTCATTGTTATGCGCATTTTTGTCTTTGGTCATTTTCAGATCAAAAAGAAAAAAACAAAAAGTGGTTGATTTTACTTCCAACCAAATAATATACTTTTTTGGTGCACTGATGCAGTTAATGCTGCTGGTGCTGTCGTTTTCTTTACTGATTAGTGAAATTTACTTTGTTCTTCCTTGTGGTGATGATGATGGATTTATTTTTATTTTATTTTTTTCTATTTTATCTGAATATCTTTATGTGGAAATGTAAACTATTATTAACTCTGTGATTTAAGGCTTCATCTATAGCTACCGTCTGTCATAGATGAAACCTAGGCAAATATTAATGGCATAACTATATCCATCTGCTCACTGTTAACAACATAGATTTATCAAGTCCTATGATTTTCCAAAGGGAAGGAAGGTTCATATGGAGACGCTAAAAAAAATATTACAACCATGCTTGATGTACACTCAAAAGTGTACATCAAGCATGACACCTCCTCACAATAGAGGGGGGCCCGCTTCTTTTTTGGAAGCAGGCCCCCCTCTATTGTGAGGGGAATGTACACCAAGTTGTCAAACTTGGTGTACAAGGGGCTTAATTCAAAATATTATAGCATTCTCAGTTAACTTCAATTTATAATTTTTTTAACTGTATATACCATAGTTCTGCTATTTTTATAGTGCTGACTATCATTTGATGTCTCCATTATCTTCTTCCTGTGAGAGCATGTTTACCTAAGTTTAAAAGAAAGTAAAAGTATAGGTTTGGACATAATTAAGACTTGAAATCTAAAAAGAAGTAAATTCTAACTTTTAAGTAACTGCTTTTGCTATACATGTTTGGGCTGCTCAAAATGCCATGCAAATATGTACCGACATGGTAGCTATACTAAAGGGTCATATTTCTTGTTTTCCTGTGATTTTAAGAAAATGTGGAGCATAAAGAGACTTCTAGTCCCTTTGGTGGTTCGTCATGGCATCCTAGTGGATAGATGTTACAAAAGTTTCTTACTTCTCTTTGAAAGTTCACTTTATCTATATTATTCCTGTGAACATTTGATGTAACTTCTACATAATGTTGCTGCAGTCTGAAGATGAGCAAAAGTGATGGTGGGGGCAGTAATTTGCATCAAGATCCTTTACCACACTACAAGTTTGTCAGGATTCTTGGTATTGGATCGTTTGGTAAAGTGAAATTAGCAGTTCATACCTTGACAGGGCTTAATGTTGCGATAAAGATTCTTGATCGCAAATCAATCAATAATTTGGATGCAGACAAAGGTAAATTTGTTGATCTCATTAAGTTTACACAGGATCTTTTAAATGTGCTAGGTAATGGAACAAATAAGTGATCTATATACATGACTATTCTTGGACAATACTCTTGAATATTCTATATATTCTAAAATCTTGTAGTTTGGGCATATGGCATAAAAAATAGTCAATAACATTACGATGAACATGTTAATTTGTACTTAGATGTTGTGATATAGATGAAATGACACCTTTTACATCGTTTTGCCTTGCTGTTTCAGTGAGAAGAGAAATCAATATAATGAAACGACTTTCACATCCCCACATAGTTCGCCTATTTGAGGTCATAGATACACCATCAGAAGTTTATGTAGTCATGGAACACATGGATTTAGGCGAACTATATGATTATGTCACATTACGTGTTCGACTCGATGAGGATAAGGCCCGCCACTTTTTTCAACAGGTATTTATTCCAATGTAACAGTAAGTCAATACATATGTGATATAAAACTGGTTGAGTGTGCTACAAAAAAAAAAAAAAATAATAAAAAAATTCAAACAATCAAATGGAGGTAATAATATTTTAATTTTTTTTCAAATAGTTATATGTTCAAAATTTGAACTTCTGATTAACAATTAAGAATGTTCAATTTTCTTTCTGAGATATATTTAGCATAAAACGTCATATGCCTCATAACCATGCAGGGCAACAAATGACATTCAATATTTACTTGTAATTTTCCAACTTTAGTCCAAAAACAGATTTACTAGCGTCTACTAATTGCAATGTGTTATTTGATGTCAGAACAGATTATTTCAGGCGTTGAATATTGTCATCGACACAAGGTGGTGCATCGTGATCTCAAGCCAGAAAATTTACTCTTGGATTCTAAACATAATGTGAAAATCGCCGACTTCGGTCTTGGGAACATTACACTTGATGGGCATTTCCTTAAGACATTTTGTGGAACTCCAAATTATGCTGCTCCTGAGGTTCACTATCGATGATATAATCATATGAGTAGTGCTATGGGTACACATAATGGTTCACATAAGGGGCAAGTGGCGCCTCCCACTTATGTGAACCATTATGGGAAATGCTATGTACAAATAGCATTTCCCTAATCATATATATCTCGAAATAACCTTGTACTCCAATCTGAATCATATTATCTTTTGTCAGCTCATGTGCAAAAAATTATACGCTGGTCCTGAGGTAGATGTATGGAGTTGTGGCATTATCTTATATGCACTTCTGTGTGGAAGGCTTCCTTTTGAGGATGCAAACATGTCTTGCTTATTTGCCAAAGTACAGGTGAGTAAATGTTATAATTGATATCTTCCAAGCTTGATGTCATCTCTTATTTCTGCCATTCCTTTTCCACTAGAAAGGAGTATACCCTGTTTCACCTCACTTGTCAAAGAGCGCACATGACTTGATTTCAAGAATACTTGTTGTTGATCCAATGAAACGCATATCAATTCCTGAAATACGTCAACATCCATGGTTTCGGGAAAATCTTCCTCTATATATTGCTAGTCCATCACCAGATGCTTTAAGCAGAACAGAAAAGGTAACTATGATTCCTTTTGATCATCTAATTATATTTTTGTATCACCTTATACTTCTTTGGCTAATTTTGTGTCCTTGAGTCTTACTGCTGTCAATAAACATAACGCGTCCGAGATAAACACCGATTAACCTGTTTCTTTGAGAAAATTCTGGGACATTACCGAGTTTCCATATGTAGCACGGACACAGTATCACAGACCGCATGTTGGCTTGGCGCCACTGTCCATGACCAATGCAGAAGGGGCATGGTAAAGAGGTAATTAACATATGCACATGCAGCATGTTTGAGAATCGAGCAGACTTAGTGGAAGAGTTTTGATAACCTTTTAATCTGGACTTCTTTGAGATGTTAGGAGCTCCCACCAGGTTTTAAGTAATTTGGAATCCATTTGAGGGGACGGATATTATTGGAGGCATGCAGTGCATTGTTGAAAATTGTAGAATATTGAGAAAGCATTTTCTCACTAGTCAAGAATGGCATCCTTTGGGCCAACTTGGGCACTAGGTTAAGTTAGCAACAATTTTTAGGGGAACGAAGCTCCTAAGGGGTGGGTTTAGTCATCTTAAAGGAGGGTTTAAATTTCTCATCAGGCCTAGAATCAGGAACTCTGCAGGCGGCATTTGCGAGAAGGTTGATTTGTTGGGTAGTTTTCTGTCGCCCGAGGCAGTATTTGTACGCCAGGTGTTAGGCCAGGCGGGCTACACAAATCATAGGGAAATACCTCCAGAGAAATACTTATCAAAAATAACATTTTTTAAAATTAAAGAAGTTTGATTTTACTTTTAAAAAAAATGTCAAGATGACCACGACGTTAAATATAACAAACAACATCAGACAAAGGGAGTAGACTTTTTGTACGTAGTTTAGGAATATTTCATAGTTGCAGAGAAATTTGTCGGTGACTGAAAAAAAAATGTAATGTTAATTGACACTTCTCTAGTAAATGATTGCACCTGGTAAATATTGATTTTTGTTTCTACTTTCTCATCTCTGCAGAAAATTTATGTCACGCGTGATTTTTAGTTTAACTAATTCATGGTTTCATCCAATTACAATTCTGTATTTCCGCGACGAAATATTTTTTATTGGGAGGCTGACTTTATCTTTTACAAATTGAGAAGGTTGATATGGAGGTTTTGCAAGAAATGATTAAGATGGGATTCGACATCCGTGAAGTCATTGGATGTCTTCATAATAATTTGCAAAATGAGGTACGAGGGTGTGATTCCCCTTTTTTTTCACTTTGATGCAAAATTTAACATTGTTTAATGTTTCAGGCTACTGTTACATACCGCATGTTACAGCATACCCGTTCTCCAGTCCCTGTACATTGCCATCACGAGATTCTAGAATCTCTAGTAAGTTCAATCTTTATTTTTGTAGTTGTAAACTCATTGCCGTGCATTTGCATTTGACAAGTGATCTTATTTTTCCTTTATTATTTCTGTGTACTATCGGAAGCAACTCGGCCTAATATCATAACTTCTCTTGAGCCAAAAATATGATTAATTAAGTCCTTACTGGTTGTCTTGGCCAAAAGTGTGTTGCTGGAATTTCTGTATGCCTTCGATTATTTTCAGTGAAGCAGCTTCATGATTAGTTTGAGTAATCTTCTTACGCCACAATAATCATCTCTCTTTTGATTGTAATTCTTAGTTGATGACAGATGAAAAAAACATAGAAAAATTGCTTATGAATTTTAGTTGTATTTCCACCATCAGGCCTTCAATTCTTTTAATATATTGTAATTAGAAAAATGTGATAATATAGCAAGAAGCATTCATTTGCTTAGAGAACTAATCCTTAAGTCAGTTGAAAAGAAACGTAAAAAGCAATATATATCATGCATTAATAAAATAATCAACTAGTACAGACATATTTCCGAATAACTGATTTTGTGGAACAGGGATGCGTGGATCATCTTCAGACGTATTTACAGACAGCTTCTCCCGTCGAAAGTAATTGGAAACTTGGATTTAAGGTAATATTTGTTATTTGGATCAGTAAGTGCTATTTCATACTTCCATAGGAGTGTGACTTTCTTATTCATTTTTATTGACTTGTTTTCATAATTTTATGGATCCAGTCTCGAGCATCTCCACGTGAAACCATGATGTGCATTCTAATGGTTTTCCAGAATTTAAACGTGAGATGGAAGGAAATAGGACACTATAACATGAAATGTATGTGGTTACCTCCACTTTCAATGCACTCAAGATCTACCACTGGGCCGGATTGCAGATCAGGTGACACTGTCAAGTTTGAAATTCAAGTGAGTGAAGTGTCCTCCGATTACATCTTCTAAGTCGTCCACACTAACAATCCGTCCTTCCCCTCCAAAGAGAAATTTTGGTTAATAACAAATATAGTACTTGGGGTCATGTTGGTAAGTTTTCTTACATCTCACCCTCACTGTGCCCAAGTATCGGAAATGGGGATTCAATCGTGATTCTCCAGATGGAAAATGACCAATGTCGGCATGAAACCAAAAAAAATAAAAATGATCAGCTGTACTGCAATTGTGCTAACAGGTGCCAAAATTGCTGCGGTCTGGCCTATTAAAGGCCCTGCGGCCTAGGAGCCAAGACTGGCCCAGTATTTTTGGCAGGAACCAGGCACAGCCTTCCACCACAGATGTGGTGGAACAAGCCTGCCTGTGGCCTTTCCCAGCCAGTTTAAGACGGGTCGTACTATATCTTTTGACACCTCTACCCCATGATGGATGCTTGAAATAGAGCATGGGCGGTACATTTAAGCATTTTGACTTGATTTTTCTCTTGCCTGGTCACTAGTCCAGTCCGAGTCATTTTAGGCTAGTCATTTGTACTTTGTAGTCCTAGATGTTGGGTTCTTGATTCTATGGGTTGGTCTCAATTTGATTCTTCCATGGGAAAAGGAGGAAAGCAACCAAGCTGAACTGGAGTTGTTACTATATGTGGAACCTAATCATACTTTACCCTTATCCTTGCGACCATATATCAATATTTTTAGAACTATATTTGGTAGCCGCACATTTATTAGGTTGCTATAATGTTCCTACCAGGCCTTTTTCTTTTCTTATTTAATGTGTGAGGCTTTATATTTCTTAATCGTAGTTTAATCTTCTGATCTTTTTCCAGCTTTATAAAGCCGGCGCAACGATATATGTTCTAGACTTGCAACAACTGAGTGGACCTCCATTTTTGTTCCTTGAAGTCTGCTATGCATTTCATGCTATGGTAACATGAACTTATCCTGGGTGCAGCCGATGAAACCTAGGCCGGCATAATTTTTCCAGAAGCCTAATGCTGTGAGGGAGGGAGTGTTTTTCCTTGTAATGCAGTCACAATCCTTTGTAGAGTGTATATTTCAACCTCTTGAACTATATTAGTCATAGTACAAGTGTTCGAAAATTTCTGCCTATAATAAATAAAGATATATAAGAATTGTGCACTATTTAGGCATTTTACACAGAAAAAATATTCCAAGGGGCCAAATAGTCTAAGGAACTTGAATACTACAAATCCAGGTGCCCTATTATCTGTTGCAAAGTGTTATTCATATCCATAAACTGAGAGAAAGATAAGCATCATTCTGTAGCTCTTCAGGAATACATATGCATTAAAGCTATATTTCAACAAGCACAACAGAACTAATGAAGAATTGCGTCCAAGAGTGAAAACAGAACTAAGGAGAACGACGTAGAAAATATAAAATGGAGGCAACCATGGGAAGTACGATGTGAAAAATGATGTAGCTCAAGAAACCTGCTGAGAAACCACTGGTACTTTATACATTTCCCACGGCAACCCGCCTGAACAAGTGGGCGGCTAATCTTGGTGTCGGAACAGCTTCCAATGGGGTTTTCATGTATGTGACGGTTCCTGGTTGCTCCATCATATCAATATCTTCAACCCGGACACCGGCAGGTGGTGTCCAAGTGAAGTTGTGCAACATGTGTCCAACCATCGACGTGACTAAGTTGATAGCAAGTTGTGCACCGGGGCAGATACGTCTTCCAGAACCAAAGGGAAGTAGACGATAATCCGTACCCTTCATGTCCACATCCATCTCAAAGAATCGCTCGGGTCGGAATTCGAGAGGGTCTTTCCACACGGCTGGATCACGAGCAAGAGCCCATACGTTAACGCTTACAGTTGCTCCCTTAGGAATATCGTAACCACCAATCTTCACATTAGCATTGGCTTTATGGGGGAGCATTAGTGGTGTTGGAGGGTGCATTCTAAAGCATTCCTTGATTACACATTGCAAGTAAGGGAGATTGGAGATATCGGATTCTGTCATGAGACGTTCGGTACCGACCACTTGGTCGAGCTCCTCTTGAATCTTCTTTTGGACCCTCGGATTTCTAACTAGTTCTGCCATTGCCCATTCCACTGTGATGGTGGTGGTGTCCATGCCTGCAGAGATCATGTCCTGCACAAGTTGATGTCAGCATTTAATGTTGCTGCCACATACTAAAATCCAGATCTTTATTACGGAAAAATGCAGGGCCTATTTGAGTATGTTTGTTTAAGCTTAAAACATTTACCTATAAAGTAAGTAGTTTTGACAAAAGTAGTTACTTTCAAAATAAGGAAGTTTTATTATTGAAAAGTAAGAAAAATGTAATTTACCCAGAGAAGCCCAATGATAGTGTCCTGACTAAGGTCATATTGCTTCTGAAGAGTTAGCAAGGCATCGACAAAATGATTCTTGGTATCCCCAGTCTTCTTGCGGGCAATTGTGTGTTCTTCCATGATTTTCTTAGTGAAGTGATCCGCACGGGAATCATGCTCGGCAAGTGCTTCATTTTCAGCCTTGAATAAGAAACGAAACCACGGGAGGTACTCAGCTAGGGATTTTTTGGTACCCAACTTAATTGCATCGTTTAGAATGCCCTTCAACTCTTGTCCTTGTCCATCAATTATGCCCTCGTTGTTCATAAACCTCTTCCCAAAAGTTAATCTTGTAATGTGGAGGAATGCCATCATTCCCAAATATTCACGCAGCATCAAAGCTTTGCCCTTATTTTCTGCAACAAATGCAAAATCATTTTAGCTGTTGAAACTGAAGTACAGTAGTATAGCAAATAGTACAGATAATGCTAATAATCTGGAATCTGAATACATGTTCATGTTGCAACTCACGTTTAGCCAAACTATATGGTTCATAGCATATTTCAGCAATCAACAAGCTCACACGATATGTAAATATAAAAAATGCCAACAACAAACTAAGTCTGTTTTCCGATAAGTTTGGGGTCGACGACGATAATCTTTTTTCAAAACATAAAAATTACCAAACAGGAAAAAGAAAAAAGACACTGTCTTGCACTACCCACCTGCTTTCTTTAACCTCCATCATCGTTCCTTCCTAGCTATTACTTGCTTAAATCTTACAGTTAATGCCTATTTAACGGCACATCATCACTCTCCCTTGGATTTTTTATTTCTTTCTTCAAATGCCCCAGCACCCAACTAATGTGAGGAACTTGGAGCACCCAGAAGAAGGCACAAGCCCATGTAGGTACCACCAGAACGAGCAAGGGAGAGATTATTCGGATTCAATACCAAACATTGTTCATCCAATGCCATTAATCCCGTCCCCTGGTAATCCTCTTATTCTTTATAAAGGACGCTGTTAATGTTTTCAATCTACAAATTTTTATCTTTTCAAGCATCGTCATCTACTTTTGACGCGTTACCACAGATTTACAAGAACGACCGCAATAAATAATAAAGATTTTAAAGAATCAAGAAAACAAACTGAAAGTGGTGACCTAACCTCTGCACAAGGACTCCCAAAATTACAGCTACACTCTTGACCTCTAAAACAAACCCCTAAATTCTTGATGGCTATAAGAAGTTATAGATTATACCCTAATCCCAATCACGAGAGTACAAATAATCAACTGAAATGTGAAACGAGAAAAGCTCACACAGATTTACAACAATTCAACCTCATTCTAAGAGCTGCGCCTACTCACTGCCCCAACTTTTTTACTATAACTTAAAAGATTCATAAACTTTCGAAAAGAGTAAGTTTTTCCCTAAAAATAAGGAAAAAAGTTAAGTTATCTATGACCAGAAACAGAGTCATTTGAAAATAACTTGTTCTTATTTTTAAACTTGGACGAATTAGCCTCCACTCACTTTACCACATGAATATGATATCTACTAGACAGATCTACTATCATAAACATGAGATAAACAAAAAGAAAAAGCAAGTTTCGCAAGTGAAATCTTCATACCAGGAGCACTGCAGTCCTTGAAAATGGATTCAACCATGGAAGTAACTTCATCTTCTCTGATAGGTCTAAGAGCATCAAGCCTCTTTGCCGAGAAAAGCTCAAGAGTACACAATTTTCTGACCTTAACATAGTGAGGACCATAATCCGACCAAATCAAATCCATTCCATTTTTGCTAAACTTTTCAATTGTTTTCGTCCGATTCCGATTTGCCAGCTGCTGGTCATTATCCTTTAGCACTTCCTTAGCCAACGCCGCATTGTTCACCACAACATTCAGATGCGAACCTAGGTAGACAGAGAAGATCGGTCCGTATTGTTGTGACCACTCGGTGAAGCACCTGACGAGCACCGGCTTGATGTCGTAGAGGTTTCCGAACACCGGCAACGGCCTGGGCCCCGGCGGCAGTTTGAATCGCAGCCGGTTGAATAGCTTATAGGCTATGAAAATTAAGGGAACTGAGAGGAAAATCAATTGGAAATCCATTGGGATGGGAGGTTTAAGCTTGGAGTGTGTGGACAAGAAAGTGGTATTATGCAGAGATTTTATGGTCAATTTAAAGCAATTGCAAATAGGATCAACTAGACTATAATAAAAGTTTATGAAATTAATTTTGTTGATATATATTTTAATTATTAACAAAATAATTATATATTAAAATTTACCTACCTACTCTCTCCCACGTGCTTTACAAAACTATGGTTAGGTGCAAACATGTGATTAATTTGATTGTAACGTGCTTCCATTGCTCAAGTAAAAGGTTTCGTTGACTAAGAAAAATGAAAAAAATTAGAATATTAATAAAAAAAGAAATTAAAATTATATGTAGACATCTTCTTATATAAATGTCACTTCCAAGAATTCTAGGTACCATATCCAACATTTGAGAACAAATTATGCCCTTGTTTTGTTCGGATAAAAATTTGATAATAATTGTAGATCCCATGAGTTGAAATTGAATTTGAGGGAGCCAAATAAACACTGAGGGTCTGTTCTCTTTATAATTTTCAAATTGTTTTCTGTTCTCGATTTTTCAAAATAGTGAAAATGCGTTCTCTTTCTCATTTTTGAAAACACGTTTTTGAAAACAAGTTAAAAATTTACAAAGAAAACCCAAAACGACAATTTGTCGTTTTGAGTGTTTTCAATTATAATCAAGTCAAAATTTTCAAAATACATTTTGGAGGTTTTCAAAAGACAAAAAAGAACACATTTTCAACAATCTCAAAATAGACATTCATAACACAAAATTCAAAATACAAAACCCAAACACAAAGAGAACATCCCCTAAGTTGCTTAAAGGGAACGGAGTCGATTAAATTAGCATTAAAAATAAGTCACGAGCAAGGGAGAAAATGAAAGTTTGAGGATCTAAGATGAAAAAAGAAAATAAATTGAGGATCTTAGCGTAATATGCATTTATCATTTATAACACAGAAGACAATAATTGTGGTTGTTGGATTTGCGTGACATTTCACTTTTGTCTATACATATGTTGTCATGTAAGTTGTCCAGGACAATAAGTTAAAATTTAGATTTTAATCTAAAAATTTAATTCTAATTAGATATTTTAAGAGTTCTATAATTTTTCAATCACACATTTATCAATTTTTATCGAAATCTGTAAAAAAATCTAATTTTAATCCGAGATTCCCTCCGTCCTGTGTCCACCACACAATTGTACTATGTAATTGGAAGTAGGTAGGATATATATTTTATTTTTCTTTTCACACAAATTAATTAATCAAATGATTGTTAAATAACAATTTTAACAATTTATAAATAAACCATCAAGGGACGATAATAATGAATGAAATACGATAACGATCTTTTTTTTTTAAGGTACGTAAATATACTTTTCATTCGTTTTCGGTACTTCAAGAGTACGATATTTGATCAAAATGTTTAATTTTCATTATTTTACATTTAAAGGGATATTCTTGTATTTTTCTTTTTTTTAAATTAGGCCCTTGTTTGGTATGCGGGTTAGGTTTTGAGCTGAATGGCAGCTGCTCCTCAGCCAAGAGTGTTAGGTATATAACTCCCACCTACACAGCATAGAGCTTTATTTTGTTTTCATTAAAAATGTAAAACGTGGAACCTTTACATCAAACAATATTTTCGACAATCTAATTCCAATGAGTTTAGCTCAACTGGAATTATAATCTCAGTCTATGTTACATTAAATAATAAGTGTAATTAATTTAATTTCACATTTTATTTAACATATCATCTAACACCACATAAATTGGGGCTGTAATCTCAATGAGATTAAATAACGTTATTTAATTCCTATTTGTTCAACTTATATTTTTGTTTCACGTTAGTCCTTTTATTTGTAAATTAATGTTGACGTCCCTCTCTCAAAGGTGGTGGATCAACACCACATAAATTAATGTTGTAATCCCAATGAAACTAAATAACATTATTCAATTCCTATTTGATCAACTTATATTTTTGTTTCATGTTAATTCTTTCATTTGTAAATTAATGTTAACAGCCTTCTCACAAAGGGCATCGCCGGCCAACCCCCTTTGTGAGAGGGCTATCACCCATTATGTACACCAAGTCCTACTTGGTTGTTACTTGTTGGAACTTGGAATGCATTTAATGACACATTTAACTCTAAATTCTATTTGGGATCCATTAAAATGTATTTTATTGAATAATGTATGTTAGAAAAAATGCATTAACATTAAAATGAAGCTCAAACAAGGGCATATTGGGAAATTGAAAAGGTTACAAACGCAAATCCAGAATGCTCAATCTCGGTCTTGCATCTACACATTTAATGAATCCTATCATTTCAAGTAATGTTATTTAGTACTTCATCCGTCCCAATTATATAGCATCATTTCGTTTTTCACACGGATTAAGAAAGCTTATTTAGTTCCTGTTTGACATCCATGTTGAAGAAAAAATAAATTCTGGAATAGTGATTGATGGAAGAATGTGTGGTTAAAAAGTAATGAGAATTTTTGGGTTTATGTGTAGTATTATTTTATTGATAGAATGTGTGGTTGAAATGAAGAAAAAAGAAAAAAATGAGAATNGAAAAAAATGAGAATGAGAATGTGAAAAAATGAGTGTCAAACAGGGGCTTAATGTTATTGAACAATTATTTTTTGTCAAGATCTTTCTTAATTTACTCCTATTTAATTTTCAGTATGTAAAACTAAATTATTGTTGGAATTAATAAAGAATTTGAATTTTCAAGAAGTTGACATATTAAGTAGGAAAAATTTAATAAGGATACATTGGTAAATGATGATAATAAAATATTCTACATTAGGAAACACGCATATATATTTGGGACGAGAAAAATGAAATCCAACCTATATAATTGGGACGGATGGAGTACTACTAATGTTACGACATCAATTTGAGTGACATTTAACTCCTGTTTGATGGTCATTACAGAGAAAAAAAATGATGTTTTGAATAGTAATTTTTTTTGAAAAATATATAATTAAAAATTATGAAAATTTTTGAATTTACATGCAAAATATTTTTTTGTATAAATGTGTAGTTAAAAATGAGTATGAGAATTAAAAAAAATTATTTTAAGAGGAGACAAACAACGGATAAGTGACATTAAATGAGTTACATAGTTATACATTTAATTAAACATATCAAATATTGCTTCCTAAACTGATATTGTAGCACCAATGTTATTATGAGCATTATTTTTTCGCTCCACATCACCCGTCTATCACTCATGTGAGGTTGATCCCGACTTTGTACATGTACCATTATTTATTTAACGTCCTTTTTCAAGTAATCGTATAAGTCGACCTAAGACTATATTAATTATTAAAGTTCCACAAGCAAATTTAATTTATGACATGAAAATGAGATGACCGTACAACATGATAAGGGAGCCAAGACATGGTTAGTCGAAAATAATTAAGTTGTCAAATCCCCCGTAAGGTCGTAAACTAATAATTTTCTTCGCTAAACAACTGATAAAGAACATTATTGTCTAAATTAAATAGTGTGTGTGTGTCCTTATTATTTAAAAAATCCAAGTTAGTTTTTAAAAATTGTTTATAGTTGCACAACACCATCCAACAATGAAAACTATTGAATTTTGATAATCGTCACGTAAAAGTAAAATCAGTGTTTTAAAAGGTGTAAAGCGTGGCGAGTCTAGACGTAAAAAATGTTTTTCTATTTTTAATATTATTTTAAATTTTTCATCATTTTAAAAATAATTTAATAATTAAAATAATACATATCAAATATCTAAAATTATAAAATAATATATTTACTTAATAATTTCTGCAATTAGTCAATTATACGATTTCTAAGTTTCAAAAAAAAAAATCTAAATTATTTTTCTTAATTTCAATTTTCAACTAGACAAGTTATACGGAATAAATTTATAGGAATTTCATACGTGATTTTGAAATTTTCAACAAAATAACGAGTACTTATATAATGTAGATAGTACCGTAGCTTAAATACTATTTATTGAATAAAGTAATTTTTAACTTTTGTACAAATAAAATCTTTTAAAAAATTGAAATTAAAGTCTAATGAAAAGTTTTTTAAAAAAATTAAAAATAATAAACTAAAGTCGACTTTTTAAAAAAATAAAAAAAATAATAAAGCACGCCTAGAAAAGACGAAAGAGATGAACAAAAAAATTCAACCATTTAGGAATTGATAAAAAAAGGGCCTAGACGTGGAGCGAGGCGATTTGCTCGATCGTCGAACTTAGGCGAACATTTTAGAATATTATGTAAAACTCTTGGAATAATTTTACCATTCATGTGTATGCGTGAAGACGTAAACTTTCGTTATCCTATTAAAGTAAATCCACAGTAAGTGGATTCTGAATCAGACACCAGCAAATCGGGTGAAAGAATGACGAAATGATTCAAATTTGGACAAGCGAAACCAATTTCAGCAGGGAATAAAATGCTCTTTTTTCAATCAAATTTTCTTCGGAAAATTTGACTTACAAATTTACTCAAGTCCCAAAAAAATAATGGATCAAAAGTAGTTTCTTCTCATTCTACCACTTTAACCACTCCTGATAGCATGTTTGTTATGTGATATTAGATAATGCTGGATAGTTATTAACACGGATTTAACTTCTTTCTTTATGTACAGCTATCCAATCCTCCAACCAAACATGCCATCGAAATCTTCAACTGGCTTAAGGTTTTGGAGTTTCCATGGCTATCATGGGAGGCTGTGGCATTGGAGCACTAATTGCTATCGCTGGAAAAGACAGTACTTTCTTAGTTTCAAGTCTGCGCATTTCTATGTTTGCTTCAATATCTACTATCATCATTGTATGGTTGTTTCCTGTGATTCCTAATTTTACTGGTTCAGGAATTTCCTCACGAGCCTCCTTTTCTTTATATTCCTTGTATTTACCCCACAAAACTGAGTAAAGTCCAATCACAATCAACACGGCACCAAGAACACTACAACAAAAAAGTGTAAATTTCAGTCATTTGAATAAATTTAAGTGCCATTTGTCTGCGGTACTAGACAGTATAATAGACATATTGTTCAATATACACGAGAGAGTAAGCAAGTTACCCTCCAACATATATCTTTTCAGCGAGGATGAAAGAGCCCATGATGGCCACTACAATCATCATTAATGGACTGAAAGCAGTCACAAAGACAGGCCCTCTTTTCTTCATCACAAGACCTTGGACATAGTATGCAATACTCGATGAAACAATACCCTGTGTTGATACGAAAAACAGTCGCGCACCATTCAGTTTTTGTTGGTTGAAAACATAAGCCAACTTAGGATTGGGTTACTCCTCTTAATAAGATTGGCCTTTTAAGTTGGAACTCCAAATCTTAACATGGTATCAGAGTCCATTAAACTCAAACGAGCAATTCGATCCGATTAAGACTCAAAAAATTTGAGCACACGAATTTCAAGATTGGTCTGCTCAAACGAGCTACCATTTTGCGGGGGCATATTAAGGGATAGAATCCCACATCGAATAAAGATGAAAACATAACCAACTTATAAAGGATTGTGCTACTCCTCTTAATAAGGTTGAAATGTTTACATCTTTATTCGATGTGAGATTCTATCCCTTGCATCGAGGCACAGACTGGCATTCTGACAAGCCCGAGCGGTCTAGGCCCCGGCCCCACTTTGACACCAGAATATCTGAGGGAGGGAGAGAAGTGAACTTACAGCATAGGCAGCAGCTAGGAGGTTCATGTCCCACCCAATGGCCCAAGCAGATGATTTGTGCTCCATCACAAAGGTGATAGCTATAGATTGAAGTGTTCCCATGAAGCACACAAGGGCTGTGAGGGAAAGGTGGGCTGTGTATTTTTTCAGTGTGTGAGCCTGTCATAAAAACCAAATCTAGTTATTATACAATTCAATCATGTCTAGTAGCACGTGCACAATTCAAACGGAAATTGTTAGGTACCTGAAGGATGAAGAAAGAAGCCCAAGCAAGAGTAGCAATGATAAGCAGAATTGATCCTTTAACCCAATCTTTGTCAGTGGCTTCAATGGTATCAGGGACGTTGGAGGTCCTAGTATGAACAAAATTGGACCAAACCATGTTGATTACCCGACCTTTGTACACTGTCATTAACATGGCTCCACCCACTGTCACTATTGTTCCCACCACCTTTGCTTGGCATCTAACTTTCTTCATGTCCAACTTCTCCATCCTATATACACCTTAACGCATTAAATTTGTCCGTTCAAAATATTCGTGGCTTGTTCAGTAAGGTGGATTCGAAAGCAACACACAGTACCAAGAAGAATGAAAAGCTAAAATTTTGTTCGTGTCGAGTACCATGAATGAATGTGTACCTGCAGAGGACTGCCATAACAAATGTCATTGCAGGAAGAATGTTACTCATGGCACATGAGAAAGTTGGAGAAGTAAATTTAAGTCCAGCATAGTAGAAGTTTTGATCAATGACAGGCCTGTACAGCAACACAAAGTTAAGCATTATTTTCAATAAATTTAGAGTTGACTACGTGACTTCTTTGTCATTCAGTTTGCATTAAAATTCTTACCCAAGAAGTCCCAATACAAATAGCTGCAGAAAAATGGGGAACGTAATTTTTGGCCTNGGGGTGGGGGGGGGGGGGGGGGGGGCAGCGTGCGACACCATTCGGTACCCCCTTTCGGTACAAGGGGAATTACCCATCACGAGTTATCATCTGAAATCACGAAAATGCAAAAAAAATAAAAATAAAAAAATAATAATAATAATAAAATTGCACGTGTTTGGTAAGTGAACTGTACAACACTGGAAAATATTAAGGGAGAAAAAAGATTATCCAGTCTTGTTCAGCATTGTATACCTAACACGTCAGGTAGATTCTTTCGGAGTTCTTAAGTGCATTCACTTTACCTTTCAAGTACAAGAGCAAAGGGATAACTGCAGTGGCAAAGGCATGTCAACGTCAGGTAGATTCTTTCGGAGTTCTTAAGTGCATTCACTTTACCTTTCAAGTACAAGAGCAAAGGTATAACTGCAGTGGCAAAGGCATGTCTATAAACCACTAGTACATAATGACTCATGCCTCTATTAAGGGAAACTTTTGTAATAATGTTCATTCCTGCATAACCAAATTGCAAAGAAATCATAGCTATGTAAGGCTTAGCCTTCTCAAAGAAATTGCTAAGGCAATTTTTTCCTTCCATTTTTCTTTACTCAGACAAAAACAAGAGAGTTCTGAGAATGAGAAAAGAAGACACTTGAAGAAGTTGTGTCTGTCCTAAGGAATTTATGTCTGACACTAGAATATATATATAAGCACTTGGAGGGAAAGGGGTGGGAATAGGGTGGGTAGGGGTGGTCTATCCAGATAGTATAAACTTAGAAGATTTGGAAGTACTTCAAGAGTGAGAATCTCACTTCCACACATTTGCACTAGTAGCCCTTTTGTGGTATCCAATTGAATATCTTTTCCTCCTAGTGGATAAGTGATTTGAAAGCTAGTTAAAAAATGGTGAGTTTAGTGCTAATCTGATGCTAGTAAAGAGCCTGATAACATGGGGTCCACATGCCGTGAGCCCCAATATGTTACATGCTTGACGGCAGGAATAGTTGTCGTGTCCAACTATAAGGGGCCTTGTATAGAATAGTGCTATTGCTACTGCTGAGGGAAATTCGTCGATATGTGATATATAAAAATCATACGTCATCAGTCTCAATTGTAATAATTCAGTACGTTTGACCTACTAGAGAGATGGTGGTGTCGAAGTTAATGAACGTGATCACGTAAATCAAGGTGAAAATAGACTATAGTCTAGCGGTCAAACTCATTATTTTATAGTTTTTTGACATTTATTTAGGTTCACAATGATAACGTGTTCTCTCGATTTTCAACGTGCTACTCCAACACCACTTCTTGATTTGTGAATTGGGTTCCATGTAAGCAACACATTATATTTAGTAGGCAAGAAAGTTAGCAATTTGAACACAACTTCAAAAGTTTCACTTTATTAGAATTACATTAATTTTCATGCCTTGCACGGTTCCCTATTCTCCAATTCTATCCTGGGTATACAGCACTTTGGATACAGATTATTTGACAATCCAACATTTTTTTAATAAATGACACAATTCCACTTCCTAAAGTTGAAGTTTACTTTAATTAGTAACTGGAAAATTATGGGTCTGCCGAGTTTCATGTTGTTAAGGCGTGTACATGTAAATTAGGTTGATAAAAATGCAAAATGTGACACGACGCACTAAATGGAAACGCCTCTTTTGTGGGAAGTAGAGGACGAAACACATTTGAGATGTTAAATGAGTATACCGCTCAAATCTTTTAATGTTACAAACTCAAATCTACTCAAGAGAAAGGCAACCTTAGTGATGTACTAGTCTAGTGGAGACATCATTCAACGATCGCCTTATGGGAGTCGTCAAACCACAATTATTGCACAATCCCTTCAATTAGGAACTACTGGTTTTATTCTTATAATGTCGTGTCCCATATATTTCTTTCATAGAAATTATAATGGGATGTGAAAAATTATGCCTAGACGAACACCAAAGAAACTACAAATAAACAAAAAGTCATGGGATTTTCTTAACGAATTGTATCTCAAGTCGAAAATTATAATCAAACATACGATGAACTACGACTATTTTTCTTAATAAGATTGTCATTTTCAGATGAATTCTAAGATCAACATGATATAATGTCCACAAAATTCCAACAAACAAGGAAATTACAAATTGTGTTCTCAAACGAATCATCTGAAAACAGACAAACTCCGTTACTAAATGTTTAGAAAGTGACTTCCTTGGCCCAACCTTGTCTTGTGTTTTCATGGCGAAAAATAGTCCCAATAATTTCAAGCGATGCACGGATTGACTAAAATAACCCTAGTGGATAGAAAGTTTGGCCTAAGTGGAGCACCCAAAAATGGGCATCTAATCACTTCCCAATCATCTCGACATTGAGTAGTGTCAAGCAACGTAAGATCGACAATTGGTTCATGCGACAAGAAAATCATAAAATGTTTTCTTGGGTGGGGTGAGGGGGGTAGGGGTAAGGGTAAAGGTGGCAATGAAGTGTATAGTGTACACCACTAATTAAACTATCATCTTGGACCTGTTATATCCAAAGCATGTTTGCGAAAAGAAAAATGTATCCAACAATATAATAAACTAAAATTTTAAATATTTGATTTCTTGGATCAAAAGTGTCAATAACACATATACTAAGAGCTTGTTTGGGAGGGATTAAAATCAGATTAAAATTGAAAATATAGCTGTTTGAGTTGACTTTTATTAGACGAGTGGGACCCAATAACGACTATATTTTCAATTTTAATTGGATTTTAATTCTTTCTAAATAAGCTCTAAGAAACAAAATGTCTCCTTTACGTGAAAAAATGTTCTTTTGATAAACTTTTTTGAACGTACGAGCCTATGAATATTTCGTAAAATTTCTGAACTAGAAAAAGCTTGAATTATTGAAAATAATTTTGTTAAAAAANTTCTGAACTAGAAAAAGCTTGAATTGTTGAAAATAAGTTTTCTGGTCAAAGATTCATTTTTGGGGCTACAAATTTCATTTTTTCTGGGCTCTTCCTTTTATAATTAACTATCAATTAAACTGCACTAGTTAAGAAAATAATTTAATAACTTTGTTGCAATCACTTTTTCTTAATTAAAAAGGTTTAGTAATATTGAAAAGAGTAATGCTGTGTAGTCTCACTAGGGTTACAACCCTGATTTAGGTATTGTTATATGATAAACTAAACGAAAGGTAAAATGAAATAATTACCTATCATTTAATGACACGTTAACGCCATCTAGACTGGGGTTGTAACCTTAGTGGAGTTAAATAACGTTACTCAATAGAAAAATAGATAATGGTAGAAAAATTATTCTTTCTATATATGCTTATTGCTAGTTGAACATACTTTTTATTCACACGTTATAAAACCTAATTGTCATCACATTCCGTATGACCCAAAACTTATAAATATATAAAGTACTATCATACAAGCACTTAGTTCGGCTTGAACATTTGCTCTAGCTTCGCATGGCTGGCTCTCTTGAGTGAAAAGATCCATTATTGGAATGAAAGCATAAGCGGCTTTCGAAGAAAGGAGGATGAAGAACTGCATATAACGACATCCACATTGTAAACTTACAGCATAAAGTAGATAGATACAAAAAGAAGATCCAACAGAAAACTATGAAGTTGAAAAGTTTCTTTTAATGCATGTTGAGTAAGCCATATTCAATGCGTCCAAATAGAAATCGAACATACTACATGTACAATGGAGGATGACCAACACTCACAATAGGGGGGACCCACTTATTTTTATGGAATTTTTTAATCATGCAGGGCCCGCACGCATGTGAGAGGTTGTCAACCTCCATTGTCAACTATTTATGTACAAAAGAAATTTTCCAATAAAAATTAGTTTATTACTGTCCAATATTATTTAATCTTTTTTAATAATGCTATCAAAGTAGTACAAATCTACTATAAATGGCACGGGACACGGACCTAAGCTCACCTCGTCCGAACATTGTTACCTTGTGTGTACCA